AAGGCCAGCGGGAGTGCGAGGAAGCCCCACCAAGGCCCTCCCTGGCCCCAGGCAGGCAGGGGTGGGGAGAGGTGGGGAGGAAGCAACTTACCCTCCCTCTTCTCCTGCCTCCTCCTGGCTGAATGAGGGCTGGAAGCGGGGCGGCCGGAAGCAGGGGGCGGGGCTTCGTCATGTGCCCCGCCTCCCTGCACCTCACCCGGGGGAACTGCGTTCCCCCGCGTTCCCCCCCGAAATGACCTCTGGTTTAATGTACTGAAAAGTACAGGATTCCCTCCCATCCCTGGACTGGCCTGGGTGGGCTAAACCCTGTACACACATACAGTCCATGCACAGTGTACACTTGTTGGGATGTGCGTTGAAAAATTCTCATGTTATAGTCAACACATATACAGCTGAACATGTGATATAAACCCCACATTTATCCACGTACTGGTCCCTGTTTTAATTTGTAAACATGCACGAGCTCTTTCTTACAAACACATGTATGCAAGTCCAGGCAGGATGAATGTGTGTTCACCCTAATATGTGAACAGGGATAATTTTAAAAGGGGGATGGCAGGAAAAAGACCCTTATTAGTGAGGACTTATGAAGACACAGATTTAGAAAGATAAGAAACAAAGCTGGATAAAGTGGCACAAACAATTAAGGAAGAAAGGGATTTGAAACCTTAAGATAACCACTGTACTTTAAACTTGGGGCCATCATGATATTACATGAGCTACTATCTTTTCTGTCATAAGTCTAAAGAGGAACATAACTTGGAATTAACATGCCATCAAATGTGGATTGTGAAAACTGCACACTGGCATATGTTAGAAGAGACCTTGCAAAACTTTGTTCATGTGGAGGAGATATCAGACACCAATATTGCAGCGGAGTGGTAAATATATGACTAGTACCTGCCTTGTCCTGTTTTCCCACTAGGGTTGCCAAGTCTGGGTTGGAAAATACTTGGAGACTTTGGGGGTGGAGCCAGGAGAGGGCGGGGTTTGGGGAGGGGTGGGGCCTCAACATAGTACAATGCCATACAGTCCACCCTTCAAAGCAGCCATTTTCTCCAGGGGAGCTGATCTCAGTCAGCTGGAGATCAGTTGTAAAAGCGGGAGATCCCCAGGTCCCACCTGGAGGCTGGCAACCCTATTTCCCACTACAAAAATGCAATCCATTTAACTTTGACCAGAGCCAGAGCCTTTTCAGCTCTGGCTCCAGCCTGGTGGAACACTATCCCAGATGAGCTCAGGGCCCTGTGGGATTTGCTTCAGTTCTGCAGGGCCTGTAAAACAAGACGTTCCACTGGGCCTTTGGCTGACATGATAGGTGTCTTGTTATTTTGCACACACCCCCGCTCCACCCCTAACTTGGTATGTTCAGCGATTCTGGGGGGTGATTGCCCACTGCCCATTGTTCAATTCCGGGCATGTTTTATAGACCTTCAGGAGCATTATGCCCTACATTTATGGGCCATCTGGATTTGATTATTCATTGTGTAACTGTATAAGGTTTTATTTATTGTTTTATTTGGGCTTTTAATCGTTGAGAGCTACAATTGCAGGGAAGGGTGGAATAAAAATCCAATAAATAAATAACTAAATACATAAATGTAAAAAGTCATAATTTATCCTCTTAATTTACCTGAACCCTTAAAATGTTTTGAATATTTAGGTATTTTCATTGTTCTATTACCTGAACCCTTAAAAATGTTTTGAATATTTAGGTATTTTCATTGTTCTATTATTTTTAATATTCAAAAGCAAGCAGGTTTTGTTCTTTTTGGGTAGAATTTTATTCCTGTATATTAGAACAAACATAAGAATCAGAGTCAAAGGTTTGAAATAACTGTTCTACATGAACAGAGCCACTATTTTATTCCGATGAAAAGTATAATGTGTTCACATTAATGTACCCTGAGAGTTTTTGCTTGTAATATTCCTTTGGACGTTCAGCAACTTAGAAAGCAGTTATGAAAGGAACAGAAACGCTCGTTAGCCTTCTGCTTAACAGTGTATCATCAAGGCTATCGGAACATTGGACATCCACCGAGAAATTAAATAATAATAAAAAAAATTAAAACCAAAACTCATCTCCACCGCTGCTCCTGGTACTTGTTCTCTCTCGGCTTTTGAGTCTCAGCAAGTCCATGATGCTCCGTGCATATATGTCTCGTAAATTAACGTTGACGTTGGAGTCACTGGACATGTTCTTGGTTAGCTTCTTCAAGGCTTCGCGTTGGCGGAGAGCAGCTTCCTTGATCTTCAGGGTGAAGTAGCAAGCAGAGAAGCGGTCGTTGATGATGGCGATGGGCAAAGCCAAGACCAGTATTCCTGACAGTATACACACAAATGCCACAACCTTGCCAAACATTGTGTCCGGTCTGATGTCTCCGTAGCCAACAGTCGTCATGGAGGTTGTTGCCCACCACCAAGCACAGGGCACACTCGTGAACTTCGTGCCGTGGACACTCTGCTCAGCAAAATACTCTATGGTGGAAAAGATTGAGATCCCCACCGAGAGGAAAAGGAGAAGCATGCCAACTTCTTCGTAGCACTGTGCGATGGTCATCCCTAGAGACCGCAAACCTGGAATGTTAAGACAGGTCATCAATCGTTTCATGCTCTTGAGGAGATAAAAAAGGGGAGACTTTAGACTGTACCCTTATCCTGGAAAAAAGTTAACTGGCCCAATTATATGGGTTAACTAGAGAAAGGGGTCTCAGCTTTTCCTATCTTATAGCCCACCGATCACTTGGTCAAATAACCTGGGTTCCATGAGGGAAACAAAAAGTCCACTTTTTCTGAGAAAGACATTTATACAGGCATTCTGCTGTTATATTTATCATTTACGGTAAGTTTTAAGAAGATGACAAATTACAGTAGTATTGTTAGAAGTGAGAAGGAAGGTAGCATTGTATAAGCCTGGTCTCATCAGATCTCGGAAGCTATATTTATTTATTTATTTATTTATTGTTTATATTTATATCCCGCCTTTCCAGGTATCTGGCTCAAGGCAGCTAACAACATTAAAATAGCATAAACAACCAAGTGAAAACAACTAACAAATACCATACCAACTAAAACAACACCAGTTGCAATTAACTCAACAGAAATGGCGGTAATCCAAATGCCATCCGACTATAGGGGTAGCGTCCAGTAGAATCTCAGGCCCGAGGGTGTTCTAAAATTTCAGACCAGATGATGTTCCAGGGCACACTCATCAGTGGCAGCCCCTAATCAAAAGCCTGGTGGAAGAGCTCCGTTTTACAGGCCCTGCGGAACTGTAAAAGGTCCCGCAGGGCCCTGATGTTCTCCGGGAGCTCATTCCACCAGGTTGGGGCCGCCACTGAGAAAGCCCTGGTTCTGGTGACATTCAGTCTGGCTTCTTTCAGACCAGGGAGGGTCAGGTGATGTTGCGACTTTGACCACAGTGCTCGCTGAGGCACATATGGGGAGAGACGGTCCCTCAAGTAGGCAGGCCCCTGACCATGTAGGGCTTTAAAGGTTAGCACCAGGACCTTAAGCCGAATCCGGTACGCTATAGGCAGCCAGTGCAGTGTCTTCAGCACAGGCTGGATATGGTCCCATATAGAGAGACCCAACAACAGCCTGGCCACGGCATTTTGCACTAGCTGCTGCCTCCAGATCTGGGACAAGGGCAGCCCCATGTAGAGAGTGTTGCAGTAGTCTAATCTCAAGTTGACCATTGCGCGGATCACTGTTGCAAGGTCATTGCGTTCGAGGAATGGAACCAGCTGCCTGATCAGCCGTAGGTGGTAAAAGGCTGCCTTGGCAGTGGCTGCTACCTGGGCCTCCATTGTTAAGGAGGCATCCAGAAGCACTCCCAAGCTCCTGACCCTCGGTGCTGGCACCAAAAGCTGGCAATGGGATCCCTACCCCCGACCCGCTCCGACTCAAGCACAGGACCTCCGTCTTCATTGGATTCAGTTGCAATCAGCTCAATCTAAGCCAGCCCGCTACACCGTGAAGCGCCCGCTCCAGGTCATCTGGGTCGGAGCGGGATGGCCCGCCCAATAACAGATATAGCTAAGAAAGGTCAGTGCTTGGATGGGAGCCCACCAAGGAAGACCCTGCAGAGGAAGGCAGTGGCAAACCACCTCTGCTTTTGGCTTCCCTCGAAACTCCTGACTGGGATCACTATAGAATGGTTGTGACTTAATGGCACTTGTGTATGTATTATTGAAAATAAATTTTATTGCTACAGCTTTAAAACACAAACCAACCAAATTAATGATTTTCTTAGTAGTTGAAAACAACAACAACAAAAATAACAGTGGGATTTATACCCTGTCCTTCACTTGGAGTCTCAGAGCAGCTTACAATCGCCTTCCTTTCCTCTCCCCACAACAGATATCCTGTGAGGTAGGCGAGGCTGAGAGAGCTCTGAGAGAGCTGCTCTCGAGAGAACAGCTATGAGAGAACTGTGACTGGCCCAACGTCACAAGCAGCTGCATGTGGAGGAGTGTGGAATCAAACCCAGTTCTCCAGATAAGAGTCTGCTGCTCTTCACTACTACACCAAACTTGCTGCTATTAAACTAAAGTGCATGGGCGAGGGGCAGAGGTACAGTGGCAGGTGGAATAGGCAGGGAGTGGTTCATCAAAAACATCTGCCAGTAAGCAGTGGGGAATGGGGAACTTGGAGAAAGTGTTCAAGGTTACAATTAGCATGCCAAAAGGTCACAAAAGGATAATCCATGGTAGCAGGTAGGGTTGGTAGCAGGTGGTACATCCAGATTACCAGTGGACCTGGGGATTGAGGGATAGTGAGTTTTTAGTAACTGTTATGAAAACCTTGAGTCCCATCTAGACCGCAATTATTACCCCACCGAACTTGTTTGCCTGCCTTTAAATCTTCCAATGGGAGGTTGGCAAATGCTCCCCCCCCCCGCACTTTGCATTTGGTGGCAGGGAAGAAAACCAACAACCCTCCGTTCTGTAGCCATGGCAGTTGGGAGTTAACCAGCATTCGGTAAGGCAGAACAGATTCTTCTTGTGTCTTGGATGCAACAGTTCTGTAAAATTCACATTAGCATCTGCCCTTTCAAAGCTGGCTCAGGATCCATTTGAGTTCCCTCGGAGTCCTTAGCTCTACTGTGTAATCTCCCACTTCTGCTTTAAAAATTCTCTTCACTGCTTTAAAAATTCTCTTCAGTGCATAATACCTGACCTTAATCTCCTATACTTCCCAAATGAATTTTAGCAGAATCAGCTGAAAATGTGCATTTTTGGGATTCTGACCTTCATACGATACCCTGAACAGCAGCACAATTCAGACTTAGGAAGGCACCAAGAAAAGGGACGTTGCCCATCTTCCCATTACTACGAATACCCGTTCAGGGACTTGTGCTATGATGATGATGAAGAAGAGATTGGATTTATACCCCACCCTTCACTACCCGAAGAAGTCTCAGAGCAGTTTACAATCCCTTTCGCTTCCCACAATAGACACCCTGTGAGGTAGGTGGGACTGAGAGAGCTCTCTTGAGAACTGCCCTTGAGAGGACAGCTCTGAAAGAACTTGACTGACCCAAGGTCACACCAGCAGCTGCATGTGGAAGAGTGGGGACTCAAACCCAGTTCTCCCATATTAAAGTCCGCACTCCTAACCACGACACCAAACTGGCTCTCTAATCCATAGCATACTTCAAGAGACAATCCTGGATGGGAACAGCATCTTGGCACAAGGGAACCGAGTGGGGACTATGAACACCAGTGTGGTGCAGTAATTAGAATTCCAGACTGGAGAGACCTAGGTTCAGATCCCCACTCTGCCACCAAACAGACCTTGCAACAGTTTCCCCGTTTCAGCCTAACCTCCCTCCGTCACAGGGTTATTGTGAAGACAAACTGGAGGGGCAGGGGAAAAAGAATTCTGGGTTGGATCTAACCCCATTCTTCCCCTTACTGCAGCTCCCATCCCACATCGCTTTTGTCCCTGCAGGTCCTACAATCCCCAGTGCAGTCTCTTGTGGTAGATGAAGACGATCCCTCCTTCCTTTTTCACTATTGGAAAAGCCGTTTGGCTCCAATCCTATGTTCTTTGCCTTGAGCTCCTTGCAGAAAGGACAGGATTAAAAAAGCTGTGGAATAGATACGGGGCCCTCACAGTCCCTCCCCCCCCCCAGACATTCATGGAAGTGATCCAATAATAGTGTGCATGTAGGAGGAGAGAGCTCGGGCTCTTCTGAACTCTGCACTAATTCATCCACGTAGGTGGTACGGCTGCATATCTGCTGAAATTTACCATACTATATTCACACTCACCAGGGTCCCAACATTAAGTGCTGCAGAGCATGTGTTGGATCTGCCACCTCAGATCCATCACAACATACACAGCTTTCACCTCTGCAGATACAATTTATTTAAAAGCATTTATGTCCACTCTTCCAGTGACCCATTTTGACCTCCAGAACAGCTAAGAACTCTGCCAATTAATTCTTGTTTGTGCCTGCAGCTCACATATTCAACGGTGAGGCCCTGATCAACATGCACACGTGTACTGAGGCCACCTAGATCCTACTACCTTTACAGTGCAATCCAGTGCAGAGTAACTCTGCATAGGATTGCACGGTTAACCTGCAAATCCTAAACAGAGCTACACTCTTCCAAGCTCACTGATTCTGTTTAAGAATGGCACTGTCTGACCTGTTAGATTCACTTTTATGGTATAGCCAGGAATGTCTATTACATAGCAGAGTGCACAAGACTTACAGGAAGCAGCAGCAGCTTCTCTGTACTATGTGTGCTAGCACAGACACAAAGTTACATGGAGCCACTTGTCAGTTTCAAACTAATAAGGATCCTTTATTCAGAGAACTACATTCTAGATAGTATAGGTGAGAGATAGGAATAGAATCTAATCTAACTAGCTAGAATGGATGCAGATGCAGAATGCATGTCCTGCATCCATGTTGCCAAAGATGGAGAGCGTGCTCCTCCTTTGTGTGTGTGTGTGAGAGAGAGAGCGATTAAGTCAGAGGGAAGGAAGTCCCTAAGAATAGCATTCTACTTCAAAAGGATAGTATCAGATAGCAGGAAGGGAAGAAGAAGAGATTAGATTTATACCCCACCCTTCACTACCCAAAGGAGTTTCAGAACAGTTTAGTAATCATCATCATTGGATTTATACCCTGCCCTTCACTACCCAAAGGAGTCTCAGAGCGGCTTACAAACTCCTTTCCCTTCCATGCCCCACAACAGCCACCCTGTGAGGTTTGACAGAGCGCTCTTGAGAACTGCCTTTGAGAGAAGAGCTCTGAAAGAACTTATGACTGACCCAAGGTCACACCAGAAGCTGCATGTGGAAGAGTGGGGAATCAAACCCGATTCTCCCAGGTGAGAGTCTGCATTCCTAACCACTACATCAAACTGGCTCTCGAAAGGTGTGTGTCCTGACTCCTCTCCATCTATGTAAATGTATGGTGCTCCCTCTGAAATCTGAGGCAGAAGACAGCATACAGTCCTCCACTTCCAACAAGGCTCCTAGCCAATTTTGCATTAAGCACACTTAACTGTTCTCCAGGAATGAAAGGCAGCCCGATGTAGCCTGATCTTGTCAGATCT